CCCCCCAGCCAGCACCGCCCCCGACCCCTCACAATTGAATGTGTTGATCTCAGCGAGCCTGCAGCAAGTCATCCGGCAGAAAAGTGTCAGTGAGCTCGGGGGGCCCAACGAGGTCAAATGGGGGTAGAGGGGTGGGTGGGCAAGGTGGGTTTACTGGTGCGAATGCACGAGTGAGGGACGGCCGGGCAGGCACAAGTGCCGTCTGACTTTGAGTGATTGTGACAAGCCTAACGAGAGCGAGCTTGTTTGCTCTCATCTCGGCTTTTCCACCTCAAGTTGGCACCAGTGAGCGCCTGTGCCAAATTCCAGCTCCTTCTGCCACAATTTGGTGACGTCAGCGCCAGAGAAATCGCTACAGAATGCAAATGTGCACGAGAAAAATGCAAAACAATTCCAATGTTTCTCACGAACGACGCTTGACGATCCTCGAGTGCAACACGATTGACACACAGCAGCATATCTTGTGGTTGCCGAGGCAACCAGAACGTCCGAGAGGTGGGGGAGAGAGAGAATGAGAGAGAGCTCGCGGGAGGGAGGAGGGGCGGCAGGGGGTATTGGTGCCTTGCTAGAAGGCACCTGGGGTAGGCAGTCGTACATGTGACATGCACACACATGGGAAACATATGCGTGCATGGTGTGTGCGCGCGCACACCCATGCCTTGTTTGGCGCGAGCTTTGTGCTCATTTCGTTGAGGCACGCACGTCCTTGCATGTCAATTCCTAAGACGAACACGACGAGACGACGGTCACGCGCACGGAAGGCGTGGGGTCGGTGTGGAGGCGATGGAATGGGTGGGGTGAGGTCGATTGTCGGGGCCTTTGCGGTTGAAGCGCGTCTCCGTGTAGGTACGTGCGGGGCCTCGGCGTCTGCGCGTGTGCGCGCTCCCGTTTCAGAGACTTACCTGGCCGCCTGGCTTTTCGCTGATGCCTCCTTCTCAAGCCTTCCGACGATTCTGCTCGTCTCCTCCACTCAGTTGGCGGCGTCCATGTTTTGGGGGATCAGCGGATGGACGTGCGGACTGATGGGAGGATCGACTGCCGCTAGACTGCTCGGTTGTGGTTTCCACGGTAGCGACGTCGACATGACAAGCATCAAGCTGCCCTGCGGTGAACCAGACACAACTTCCGGTACACATTTCACAATAAAATAGGATGTAGAAATCATCTACCTAAGCTGGTGAATACAGTGAGCACGTTTGTTTCATTATTTGTATGTCGTTCAAGTGCCAAACGAACAAAATTAGGTATATCAGTACTTTTTTGCACGTAGTGCGTCTTATTTCATCATTGTACTCATACCAAAATGCAACATCTTAACATGTTATTTTTGTGTGTGTGTCGATTAGATTTAAATAAAGCGCTATATAAATCAGGATGTATTGTATGGATGTATTATTTGAGATCCTCTTTAGGGTTGTTTCTCAATACGAGTATATGTGTGACGACTGCAGTCGCCGTTCTTCTTTCCGTCAATCACCGCCTACGCGTGAAACTCTGTGACGTCGGCGCTTCAAATTGACGCAACGTGATTGACGTGTGTGTCAAATGATTCTCCGAGGGTTAATTTTGACTGCCACAAGCTTGAAATTTGAAATTATACGTTTAATTTAAATCCGTAGACACGTCACGTGCTACCAAGAAGCATATGTCCTGTCGCCACATGGTGTCGTTGTTGGGTTACAAGTAAATCTTCGCTTCGCTCTCCGCGGTGCTGATCCTGGCAGAATGAATTCAAGGTGTTGCAAGACATCACAGTTTTTATTTTTAATTAGAATATGCATTAAAAATTGTCAGGATTAAAAAAAAAAAACATTTCAGATAGTCATTTGAACGTCGCAAGATATCACACTATTTGTATTATTTAGAAATCACATTCATTCGAATACCTTTTGGATTTGTTGCCAAAGTTGTCATTGTTTTTAAATTGTTCTTGTGTACATTGCCTTCAATATTTATCTTTCGTTGTTGAAATTTGCTTTTCTATTCTTTGTGTCAGTGTGTGGAGGGGTGGGGGCAGCGGTTTGGGTTGCGAAATCATCCCGGTTCTCAGAGTTGCCGTTGTTTTTACTGTGCATATGCCAAATGAACATGTGGAATCTTGAAATAACATCTGAAATGTAGACTGTTTCTTGAAAAAAATATTTTGAAGAGCTTCGCAAAAGTTGACATACAGCATGTTGAATCGTTTTCTCTTCTTTTTTTAACAGTGACTAAACACACCCCTTTCCGTATTTCTGTGAGTTGGACAAAAGTCAAAAGACACGTGGCTATGCATTGGAATTTTTTTTTTTAATCAAATTGCAGCACCCCGCTTGAAACAAACAGAACAAGTTATTTGCCCGGTGACTGATTACCGTCAAAAGAAAAAAAAAATGCTGGCGATTTCCTGGTTGTTTACAGGCAGAGTTGAGGATAGATATATTTGGGGACGCATAAAAGTGTAGCCATGCTCATATGCAAATGAGTCAACATTTCAAAACGAGATTGTGATGTTATTCAATCCTTTTGGCGGGTTATACTGAGGTCAAACATCGCACGCAGCACCTTGAGAGACAGCCATACAGCCTCATCTTGCGCAAAATTGTTGTTGCCTAGCAACAAAAAGTCTGCCGCAAGTTTCCATTCAAGGACACACGCATGAATACTCTTCTTACTAACTGGAAATATATCTTCTCTCTTTCTCTGATGACAGACACGCGAAGATCTCAAATCTCCTTTCCTATCATGATAAATCTTCGGATCACTCTTTGATGGCATAGATTCAGATCTCTTCCCTCAAACGGTTAAGACCAGTCGATCTTTTTGCGATGACAAGAGATTAGGATGGTTTCTCAGAATAGACCATTTTGGATCAAATCAAATGTTGATCACAACTTCCAAGAGGCTTTGACATACTCGCCCAACTCTGCCAGTAAACCTCTCCCTGTACGTCGAGACAACGGTCGAGGAGCTTATCGTGAGCTCCGTCGTCCGTGCGTCTTCGACCGGACGGGATAAGATAGGACCGGCCAGGCCACAGGCCATCGTGGTCCAAACATACACACTTGATATGCTCACACCTCATAACCTCATGTAGAAAAAGCACATTGTCGGAAAATGAACGAGGCCGACCGAGAAGAAAATTTCTATGTTCATCCTTGATTGCATTCAAAAAGCCTGTGCTAATATTATATAACCTTTGACCTCTGGGCTTCCAATTTCAACTTTGCAAACGCGACTGGATCACATCTGAGGAAGACCTACTTTGTATGTATGTGTCATCTCTCTCACAACTCAGTTAAAATTTGGGATATTTGGCTTTCAGGTGAAATTTCAGGACGAGCCTGAAATGTATTCAAACCTATGCAGGCGAACTTAATGTGACCTCCTCTTAGCTTCTGAATGCAGAAGTCCAACTGTTAAATATTTCAGTACTTTTTTCACAAGTTGCTGTTATCTAACGAGGAGCTTAACGACAAAATTCACAACAAGCGTTTGATCCTTATTTCGACCAATAAATGTCCTGGTTCAATTCGAGCTGGTGTTTAAAGAGTCGTCCTCATCACACTGTTCACATTTTGACAACATGAAACCAAGACGACACCTAACAATGAATCACCACTACCTTGTGCCATTGTCATGCTTCAAACAGAACGTTCTCAAACAGAAGTGGCCACTGAGCTTCGAGTGTCACAGAGTGTCATCAGCAAGTTGCAAAAGAGATCGAGAGACTGGAAGAGTCACAGAAAGTTACGACAATGCCAAACAATGATTGAGGTCCCATCATCAGGGAACGGCTCCTGGAGACCGGTGTACCTCAAATGGAATGGCTTTCACTTTCAGCTGAGTGGCCATGTAGAGCCTCGAAACTCTGCACCCGACGTCAATGACCTGAGGGCTGCCCTTCAAGAAGAGTGGGACGCCTTGCCATGATATGATATCAATGTAGCGTGACCTTTTTACACTTTCCATCAATTACACCTGAAAGCCAAATACCCCTAACTAACATTTTGTGAGTGGTGTATATATTATTTTTAGATATCATTCTACTTCAACACCCCTGATTCAAATGACCAATTCATCAGCACGCACTGTAGAGGCTTGAAACGATCATGAACAATTGAATCAGTTGTGTTGGAGTAGGACGAGATCTAAAACAGGCATGATTTGGCTCTCGAGGAAACCGGACTTCCCTACCCCTGGTGTGTGTGTGTGTATAACAGACACGCGCGTGTGCATGCATGTGTGAGAGAAGGTTCTAAACAACCTAATCATTTCGAACTTTAGTTTTCTTTTCTTTCTCTTAAAACACACGCACCACACAAACACACACTTTCGAGGGCCCACATGGCCACTGGATGGCGCTGTCAGACCAGCGGTTGTCTTTTTACATTCGATTTCGGGGTTCTGCTGGCTCCCAAGACCGGGATGAGAACCTCCTACACGTTTCAAGCCGAGCCACAAGTCTGTGTCCAAAAATGTCACACGCTGCTGGTGTGAAACGCGGAGGCAGGGCAGTAGCTGATGAGCGACAGCTCCTGTTCCTCAGTATCGGCCTCGGTTTCTGAAAAGGCCCTGCTAACGTCGTGGCATATTGTGAAGCAGGGCGCCTCGCCTCTCCCCGTTCGTGTCCCTTCGTCAGTGACGCCCTCCGGGTCTGGCGTTGGCTGACCGCCGTTTCGACAGTTACTGTCACGGCTTCGTTGGGCGGAAGTCTTCCTGTGGCCGTCCGACAGGAGCGGCGTGACGGCGTGCGAGGATGGCGGCGGGGCCAGCAGCGGGTTCTTCAAGACCTGTCCGGCCCCAACCACGTTGGGATTGGCGCCCACTTTGTAGCGACAGCGGATATAGCTGGAGAAGGCTCTCCTGTAGGTCTTGTTGAAGAGCGTGTAGACTAGCGGGTTGACCCCGGACGAGATGTAGCCCACCCACACGAAGACGTTGAGGAGCTCGTGAAGCAGAGACTCTCCACAGGAGGCGCCGCACAGCACCAAAGTGACGTTGGTGATGAAAAAGGGACACCACATGACAAGGAAGAGGAAGAAGACAATTCCCAACACCTGGAGGCGGACAGCAAAAAGGGAAGATGAAGAGGAGGTAGAGGGACAAGAAGACGCGTGGATGGAGAGAACGCCATGCAGTGCGCGTAGTAGCCACTAGGGGACAGTAATTCATTCAAACGACGAAGTTCCGATGACGCTGGAGAAAGGACCACCGTGAAAGAAGATACAAGGACTCTTTTGAAGAATTTCGCTTCAAATGTTGCCTTGGTTTCCTTGAAAAAAAAGTAACTTAGCTTGACTGATTACTTTTTACCCCTTCTTACAAAATGAGACAAGTTACTTTTTTGGAGGCCGACAACGCTGCCTGCACTGAAAGAAATAGTGTGTTGAATTGACTCTTTTATTTCGTCAAGCTCAAGCGGTTGCACAAACTAAAATCAGACCATACATCTATTTTAAAAAATTAATCTGAATCCAGATGATTTTATTTTGTGCAACCACTTCACGAAATAAAATTGAGTAAATTCAACACTTGGTTTTTTTTTAGTGCAACATAAAAATGGTAACTGGCTTTGCCAATGCTTTATTGGAAGTTACTTTATTTAGTAAATAAATGCATGAGACAGTGTGGGTCTCCTGCCTTTACTGAACAGCAATCGGCTAACTTATTAAAAATAAAATAAAATGACGACAGTTTCTCAAGATAACACTTTTATGTATACATATAAATGATCTGTCTACAATGAAAAAAATGGTGTGTTGAATGTATTCAATTTCATTTCGCCAAGTGGGTGCACAAAATGAAATCTGGTTCCAGTTACATTTTTTGAATAAACGTATAGTCTATAGTAAATTACATGGTGTCAAGTAAATTAGACAAATCATTTTTTTCAGTGTGTATTTAACCGAACAGTTCCTGTAATTCTGTAAGTGCATGGTTGTTTTTTTCATTTTATTTATTTATTTATATGTATATTTTTTTAAATCTCGCGAGGCAAAAAAGACCACACAGTCAATACTTGCCTCAGGGAAACCTCATGAAAAATTCCACGCACGTTGTGCGGCTTGCTTTAATACCAGCGTTGATGTCTCTTGCCTGCGCTCAACTCCTCCGTTACCAATGACCGGTCAAATCGCATTTTATCATCTGTCGATTATATTGCATATTCATCATTTAGCCCTACTTTCTAGGGTCGAGTCGAAACAGGGTGCTCAAATCCTGTCCTCGAGAGCCCCTGTACAACCTCTTTTTTATGTCTGCCTCCTCCAAGACACCTGATTGGTCCTGATCATTTGAATCAGGTGTGTTGGAGGTAGGAGACACCTACAACAGGCTGGTTCGGGGTTCTCATGGCCCAGACTTGGGCATCCCTATATAAATAAAGATGAATTGTATTGTACTGTATCCCTGAAGTAGAAGGTCCTCTGGGCTCAGGGTGTACATCTCCTATCATTATTTTTTACTCTCGCACAAGAAAAGGACCCGAGTTGATGGAGCTCTGACCTTCAACAACACCCCTGGAATCAAATTCAGTCAAAGGACATAATTGCAGCATACATATGATAGAACGTGGAGGAAGAACAGGTGTAAAAAACCCCAAATAAAAACGCATACAGTGAGGAGTCTACACCATCAACATTTTGGCTCACACATAATCTGCACCCTCCTCAAACTGAACCATTTGGCATCCTTTTAAGATAAAATCTTACGAGAACCTAGAATCAATCCCACCTTGGAGGCCCGCCTCTCGTTCTTGATGGCCTGCATCATTCCCCGTCGCCCGTGGCAACCGGCGGCGTCGCTCCGTCCGGGCCCGGCGGCCGGCGAGCTGAGCTGCGACGTGGCCTCTGAGCCGGGAAGGATGCTGACGCTCTCCGACGCGGAGACGCTGAGGAGGATGCCGGCGTCGGACGGCGGCTTGAGCTCTGTTTCGGGGGGAGGCGGCCAACTTAGATGTCTTCTTCAACATTTCATCGACAACCAATCAACAGTCGCAAAATTTATTATTAGCAAAAGTACAAGCGTTCTCAGATGTCACCGCTAATATAAAAAAAAAAAAAAGTCAATGTTCAGGTGATGCTAGTCAAGTTGACCAAGTAATTGATGATGTCAGATTTTTTTTTAGGTGCCACTTCAAATGCAAGCTGTCTCAGTCACTCTCCCTGCCATCCTTGGGTGCACAGGCCCCTCCCTTGACCCCTTCATCCAGTCGCACTTGCTCATCACGTTCACATTCAGATACCTTCGTGGCTTGGCAGAGAGTCAGCCTTGTAAAACTCGACACCAATTCACATGACAACTGCAGGGTCACTACAGTATATCAGAACAATATAGCAGGATCGGGTGAGCCACAAGTTTCCATATTCAAGGTTTGTATACCTGTGATACATAAAAAAAAAAAAAAAGAAAAAAGAAAACATGCATGTGTCTGTGAGACCATGAAGGTCTCTGTGATTTGATGAGTGAGTTGGGGGTCGGGCCAGCCCAAGGAGGAAGTTGATTGCGAGCGTGTTTGTGGGATGAAAACTGACAGTTGAGAGAAAAGCGAGTTCGATGTCTTCTTTGGTGACATCCAATGTTGCTTTTCACAATAAAGAGCCGATTGATCGACCACAGCAGTACAGTATCCCTTGTGTCTTCGATGTGCCGGAAGAGCTTTTGGTGAATTTGCTGAAAGCTGACGTGAGGATTTAAGGTTGCTCGTCAGCTAGCGTTAGCATTTGTTGTGTTTGAGCTGTGATTTCCATATTTTGCAAGTGCCCGTGCTACTGATGTGATTCTTAGTCAAATATTTCCACACAGTTGAGTGACAACAGCTAGTTTGGTGCATCAAACACTCCGCCTGTTGATTTCAGTGAAACGTCCATGTTACCAAAACACATGGCAATTAATCGACCTCTCACCGTCATTGCGGCAAGTCGACTGGTCAGTTAACTTGTCGCCTTCACTTAATCTGGTTGATCAGACAAGCGAGCCGGCTGTCATCTACTGTCACTGGTTAAGGCTACGGTCGCTTGAGCTGGACTGTTCTGTTGCTCCGATTACTGACAAAGTACTCAGCTTGGCAGAAACCCGAACTAAACCTGCCGTGATGATGAAACAGAGACTCCATAAGTAAATACTTATGCTACTCCATCACCAGGCAGCCTTGCAACCTTCTCTGCACAACTATTTACAATGTCGTTCGCCTCCTCATGCACAAGTTCCACTGAATACGTTGAGATTTTTTTCTGGGGGGTGGAACTATCTGGGGACAAATCTGCCACCCTGAAGTGTCGCCTCGCCTATTGTGAAGTGGCTTGTTGGGAGCTCACCTGGCGGGTCTGGCAGGTTCGGGGGGGCATTCACATGGATCTCCGAGGCAGGGGGCTGCAAAGTCTGCTGGGGGGATGTCTTTGCATTGCACAGGAAGACTGTGGCCTGCCTCTGCAGCACTTGGATGGTGAGGCCGTACGTCACCACCATGATGACCAGCGGGATGAAGAAGGCCACGAAGGAGCCAATCAGAATGAAGCGCTCCTCGTTGAGCACGCAGCTGCCGTTGAGAAAGACCTTGTCCTCGTTGTGGAGGCCGATCACGGGGATGGGCATGGAGACACCTGCGGAAAACAAAACTGCTTTGTCAGCTTGCTGCCTTCGTCAAGCTCTTTATTTACAAGTTGAAACACTTGGAGAAGATTGTTTTGGTTCACCTCCTAACAACAAGTCAACCGTTTGTGAAAGATTTCTGGCACTGCTTGCTTGCCAATACACACACATACACACCACACACACGCACACACATAGGAGCCTCCCAAACAGAAGGAGACGCTTAAAATGTTCCTTTGTCGAGCCTTTCTTGTCTTCTTAATGAGACATTGAGGTGTTTTGGTTCACTTCGGCTACTTCAAAGCTAATTTTGTAGTCTGGAGTGCCCGGCGGGCATTAAAAGTGCATTTTCAAAAGACTCGCTGCATGCCTTCTCTCTTGTTAGTGTGGAATTTATGCCACACCTGAGAGGGCAAATTGAAGATATTTTTTTTCCTTTTAGATGTAATCATTAAGAATAAAACTCCGCTGCTGGACAGCAACCATATGAATTATGGATTGATTTAACTCGACTGAAAGAAAAACGTTTGCAGAAGTGAATGGCGTGAAGGCAATTAAATGGCGTTGAGTGAGAATGATTGAAGGAAAGGAATCATCAATATATCGATACCGATGGATATGGTCCAGACGGCGGCAATCTTCATCATGGCTTTGGTCCTGGAGTTGAAGCGGCTGTGCTCGATGGGGTTGCGGATGGCTACGTAGCGGTCCAGCGAAATGGCGCACAGGTGCATGATGGAAGCGGTGGAGAACAACACGTCCAGATAGATCCAGATGGGGCACAAGGTGCTGGGAAGGGGCCAGGCGTAATCTGCTTTGACAACACAACAAAAAAGCGACTGAAAGTGAGACGCGGCGAGCGTTTTTTTTCGGCAGAGTGACAGCCGAATGCAAGCGTTCTGATTGGCCTTACAGTTGGTAGGGTGAGACGTCAAGCAGACTCACCGTAGAGGATGTTGATGAGGGAGATGGGCATGACCAGGATGCCCACCAGCATGTCGGCCACCGCCAATGACCTCAGGAAGAAATTGGTGGCATTTTGGAGCTTCTTCTCCAGCGACACGGCAAGGATGACCAGGATATTGCCGCCGATAGTCAGCGCAATGATGACCAGGATGAGCAGCGCCGGCCAGTTCTTCTCCTTCATGGCCGAGCTGGTGACCCCCTCCCGTGTCAAGTTGTTCACACCGGCACTCATGGCCACCGCCATGCCGGCGCCGCCGCCCTCCGCCAGGCTCTGGTTGAGCTCCGGCGAGCCGTTTCTCGGCCAGGACGTCCAGCTCGCGACCTCCGGGGAGGCAGCGGCGGCGGCAGTGGTGGCGGTCCCGAACCCGCCGAGGGGAGCTGTCGCCAGGCTGCCCATAGCCGAGGAGAGTCTTAACCCGTCGGAGGTCGGAGAGGCATCAAGGGAGACTCACTTGACCAGTTTGGAGGGGATTTTAAAAACAAGGACAGGCGGGGAAATGCGATTTATCATTTCAGGTTCAAGTTCAACTCCCATGCCAAAAAGTTCCAGCTAGGAAACGACGGCTCCAAAGTCCTCCGTCTGGATCTTAAAAGTGGACGAGTGGCGTTCATGGCATCGTGTTTCCACGCTTCGAAGATACTTCCGCGGATATCCTTTTTCAGGCAGAGACGGATCTGGGGAAAGGATGAATAAAATGCCTTTAATGTCTATGATGCCGCTTGTATTCCCCCCCACCGGACCCCCAATTTCAATCAATCCTTTCTCACTGACGTTTTAACATCTCGTCCCGTTTCGTCATGTTTGGGGAGTACAAGGGAGCTCCTTTCGCGTGTTAAACTTGAAATGCTAACAATAACTGAGAAGTCAGGTCTTCTGCCTCCCACTGTTGTCTCAATTTCAGGTTACCGCGCAGATGCTTTCAGTGATTTATCCCGCTTCCCAGCCGACCTTTTATCTCCGACCGGACTGCGGAGGAGGAAAGTGAAACGACACCCCTCTCCATCTCGCCGCCAACACCTCCTGTGCCATCTGGGGCACCCAAAGGTGATTTCAGAGCCAGATGAGCTCTGGAAAGACTTTAATCCCAGAGGCATATTCTCAGTATGCCATGGAGCAAAATTACAGGGAGAACACCCCAGACAGATGGTTGCAGATAAAAAAGTATGGCGGACATGGTGGAAGGCGGACAGAACGGTATGTTGCACAAAAATAGTGAGAGTATCAAGTTGCTATCGTTGGCAAAATAGTCCACCCACTTGTTGGCCATTTAAGGACACGAGACTGCAGGTTCTACAGTTGTGGAGAGCCATGATTCATGTTTGTCAACATGAGCAAGTTCAACCGGCATCCCGGTTCAAGTGTAAACAAACCAAGATGAATTGTTTTTGCGCTTATTTTGCTGCTTCCAGTACAGGATTGTAACGGTTAAATGTGTTGCTTTTCCTTTTATCCGTTACATTTATTCATTCCTCTTAATGTTGTTCGGACCTCAAGGTTTATTTTGTATTTCAGCTTTATTTCTCCAGGTAAGGCGATTGAGAAAAGATTGTCATTTGTAATGCAGACCTGGCGACAGAGGAAGACAAAGCAAAATAAAAGCTAATTGTAAAACATAGATTGTAAACTGTTCAACGTGATGCATCACCGCACAAGGCGAATGAAAGTCTCAAAACCGGGACAGTATACAGTTTCGCCCATTAACTTTTGAAATGATGACATCGGGGTGAATGAGATGAGTTTTCTCCGTTGCGCGGTGTTTCAGTCTCCCGGGGCAGAAAATTGAGAAGAAAATACACCAGAAGTGGTTCGCACTTTGGGAACGACAAGGTTAATCAAACTGCCATAACAGAGAGCACGTTTGACGGCACGAATGGCGAGCAGTGATAAATGTTGACTGGAAAGACGATTTTGAATGCAAGGGCAGTTTGGATGGAGGAGCTCGCCGAGTGCATGTTATATTGTTGATCTCAAAATTTCAGTGACGTGTACCAAGAATAGAACCCCGCAGGTGCTTTTGAGAAATGGTACGGCTCTAAGAGGAGACCCGTCACCCTCACTGACTTTGAGCGCCCGGAGCAGTAACTGTCAAACCAAGAGACACAAAGAGCGCAATATTTTGTCATCCAACCGTGCCCACATCTAATAAGGCTGAAAGCAGAGGGTCCGACAGCATTTCGGGTCTCTCGATGTTCTCGCAGGTTCACAAGTACAGGAACTGCCCTACACTCCAAAACACACAGTTGGCTTGGTGTTATGTCCTCATACCCGTGCGTCCTGAAGCACAGTTTGGTTTATCGGAGGGGTCTCGAACGCAACTTATACGGGGTCTGCTGCTACAGATAAAGTCTGGGCCACATTAAGTATTCCACAACAGCACAACTAATCCAATCCTCTCAATCTCTATTAACAACAGTTTAAAACATGAACGACATTTCAGTTTCATATCATTCTCACCAACCTGCTGCTTTGCATACTCAGAATGTCCACGTGAGCCACGACGTCAGATTTCTTGATCACCGCAACTTACTCGGTGGATTGAAGATATGTTGAGGTGCATCTGTGCCCAACCAAAAAACCTTCTAGAAACGTTTTTGTCGCCAAAGTCTTTCTTCCTGACATATTTTGAAAATGACATGACTGGGATTGAGTGACAGGTCATCTTTTCCTTCCACTTGGGTGTCACTTAAAATTCAGTTTCACCGAAATTTGTCATGGTCCAGAAGGTACCCCATAAGTGATTAAAAACAGACACAAATGCCTCAGGCACCGACACCACCAAAAACACGTGGACCGCATTCACATCAAACTTGTATATCTCGTAGAGAGCCACAAAATATCGTCCTGCGGGGCTGCAAGTGACCCTCGGGCTGTGGGTTTGAGACCCTTTGTCGATCGTTTGGTCTCGCCCGAAGCGCACGCAAACTGTAGCTTCGAGGCGGCACCCATAGACAATATGAACGTCTGAAGCAATTGAGTCATGAAAAATCGGAACAAGATGAAAATACCGTCGTAACCCATATCTTGTGAATTCATGTATATTTGCGGTCTTTGAACTCAGGCCAACACCACCACATCTAACATCAAAATATTGCTTTGGTACCATCTTGTGGCATATTTGTTCCAAGGAACTATGTTGAAGTGACGGGAGGGGATTTGTTAAGGCAAGCCCTAGTCTTGTCTAATTGAGAAAAAAAGTGTTCCATCCCTTTCCGCAGAAATTCCACAGTAAGGATTGTAAGTGCCATCTCCTGACTGGATGTCACAATTGCAAAGATGGCAAAGTGCTATTCGGCATATGCAACAGTGCTTCCCGGTGCACCCAGCCGGTGATTCCGACGCATGTCGAAATTGGCTGGAGAGTAGTGAAGCTTGCGTTTGCGAATATGGTACTGCAGAGTGCGCGTGAGCGTTTCTGCATGAAGTGCGTGTCTGCCAGTTGGACCGTTTGAAGCCACCAACCTCGTAGTCCGCAGTGGGCAGAGGAGGGCGGGAAAAAAAAAAGTCAAGGAGAAGAAACGTGCCTCAGTGAGCCGCTTTACTCTTTGTATTAAAGTGTGACTGAGGGCTGCTTGGATACATCTGGAACATCTCACTCTCAAGAGTTGTGTCGAGTGTCTCAGCGAGCTCGCATAGATGACAAAATATCCAGTTGCTTTTTTTTTTTTTTTTGCTGCTCTGCTGAATAAAAGCGGGACCGTGACTGAGCTGTTGCTTCTGGTGGCGCTTGGTGTTTATGAACTGGAAATCTTTCCACATAATCACATTTTCCATAAAAGCCAATCAAACAACAGTAATAAAGAACAAAGGAGCAAAGCCCCATTGCTTGTTTTAATTGCTTTGCGTTTCTTTGAATCGTCGTGATTGCATTATTGCCTTCATGCTGACTTGATTACATTCCACTGTGGCTATGCATATTGCATCGCTTTTGCTCCGAAACTCAATGTTGTACGGCTCGGGCTAACCCATTAAAAACACGTCACGCTACAAACATGATTTATGACATGACCCTTGACAATTTGAGGGGAAAAAAAGAAGTTGATGGAATGGCTTCTCACCTTGAGGGGGGCGGGGGAGGGGTGGCCGCTATTAGTAAGCCTCCCCGTCGTCGTCCGGCTCTTCCTGTCACGCTCCCGCCTCGCCGCCGCCTTCGTCTTCTGTCAGTCCACACTTTCGGACCGGCGGTCTCACGGGTGTCCCTGTGCCTGCAGGGACACGAGGATAGGCCTTTGCTTATTTGGGTGGTTCTCAGGAGTGTGGTCCAGCCAGATGCTCAAATACTCACTCACTTAGATTCAATATATATTTTTTCCCCCTTTACAATCAATCACCAGATTTCACTGCTTTCAATATTATAAAATACTCCAGAGATAAATTGAACTTTTTTTTTAAATTACTGAGATTTGTGCAGTTCTTGGTTTGTGGATGTATTTGGAGTCATGAAAAATAGCCGTTGCGACGATTACTTCTTTGTGAGATGCCGACCCTTCCCCTAACCCATGTAATCAAGGGCCCTTTGTTGCCAATAAACCGGCAGAATATTCACACAATATGGTTTATTCGAGTTCCACATTGTCCATAATTTATGTCAGCAGAAAAAAAATTGTGTTTCGGTTGTTACACGTCGAGTCCATGAGGTACCGCAGACTATTTACTACGGTAATGTACGATGTACTTGCACCGCAACAACTTTAGTAAATTGAACCGGAAGTTCAATAGGTTTACTGTAAAATACGATGCTTGAAAAAAAAAAGAAAAAAATAAGACGACATATCGTGCGTGCTGTCCAGTTTTATTGGTAACATAAATAACATAGAATAGATCCATTTTCCCCCTCGCTAATTGCATGCACTATTTTTTCAATGTATTCTAGCGTGGGAGTCAGCAGGATTTGAAAGGTGCACAGTTCAGCCGCCGCCATTTTGTAATTTTGTGGCGCGAACAGCTAATGAGTTGCGTCCATGTGAAAGAACTGTAACAATGTGTCACCTGATGGCCATTGTTCACTAATCAAAGGTCGTTTTCGACGCACACTTCGTCATTTGTACCAGTTTTCCAACTGAATGTCTTTGTATGAAGGTAGTGAAGCTAAAAATTATTTTAATTTAAAAAATCAGCCCTTCTGCCTCCGATTCCAGATGGCTGGGTTTGAAATCTGGGCTCCTGCCTCCCTCCCAGTGACCAAGTGGGTTCCCTCTGCGTATTCTGCCTTCCGTCCACATTCCAAAATCAGGCATGTTAGCTTCATGCGAGATTGCAAGCAAAAACGCTCACAGATGTAAATGTGAGCGTTATTGCTTGCGATTGGCTGGCAAACAGTCCAGGTAGAACCTGCGAAGTCAACTGGGAAAGGCTTCAGCTCAAGCGCTACCGGAATAAGCGCTATAGAAAACGGAGAAATGGATTATATTACAGCTGTTCTGACATTGCGACCCCCCAACCCTTTCAACCCCAAGTGCTACGAAAGTGTTCCATCACTGTCTCCGAGAGTTTGAAGCGTTGCTAACCTTTTACAGTAAACTGGGCATGTCCATGCCTTGAGCGTAGTAGCAGGTTGTGCAGCAGCACGCCAGGCAGCATTGAGCTCAGTACGCGGCGTAACGTACGATGTCTTCGCCCGCCATAAACGGGTTCACTATAAATGCTAACAAGCACCTCTGAGCGCGGTGATGTAGGAACATGTCGGGTCAAAGGGCCCCTTTTCATCAGCACTAAGCCAGGCGGCCACCTAATGGACCGCGCAGATGGAATGACATTACACTCCCGCGGCCGGGTGGGAGGATTGTGTGAGCTTCTTTACAACATATTCCATCTGGAACTCTGTGACAAGAGGTTAGCCTCTGTATCGAGACTTGACATCAAAGTGAACTTTGATTAGAAGCAAGCCGATATATGCAGGACGCACTCAGAAGCTTACTAAGCCAGAGGGACGATGTGACACAAGATATGCAGAACCCGAGAACCGCGCCGTGCGAGACATGATGTAAGATGACACACCAAAGATGACATGAAGGACGAATGCGGTGCGATGGAAAAGATGAAACGAGACAAGTGGACTCGTCTTGGTTGTTAAAGACGTTTTACATTTTATCCAAAAGCGCCTGCGCATTCACGTTGATGCAACATGACCGCATGCTAAGGTTCAGGTTCAGTGAAGATGGACTGACGTTGGCGAAGCCCAAAAGGAAATCTAAAAGGATATCAAGTTACACGCATAAACGAAAACAGGAAAAAAAAAAGGCTTTTTTAATGCAATTATTGAACAGCCATTATGCAGCGAGGAGGTGGAAAATCAAACAAGATGTTGAGGAAAATATTACAAAACCATTTTAGGAAGATGCGCAACCTTCCAATTGCACAATCTTTGGTGTGTCAACAAGTCCTTGACAGCTGTGTGCGTGTGTGTGTGTGTGTGTGTGTGTGTGTGTGTGTGTGTGTGTGTGTGTGTGTATACGCATGAGCAAGTGTTTGTGTGTACATAAAATAAAAAAAATCCATGTTCTTGAAATAGTATTTACGGTTTGGCAAGGCTCGAGATGGCTTTGCGTTGATGCAACACAAACAAGCGCAAAGAAAGGCAGACAAGCACGAATGACCTTCGGGCTCGCCGCAATTCCTCCACCCACTCACGTCTGAGCCGTTGACGACGTTCCGCGTCGATTTGCACGTGCACGTGCTGTCAATGGCAATTGTTGGGACTCTTACGTAAATGCCGCAATGTTTCTCGGCGGTGCTCATGCGATCATGTGGACAAAATATAAACATGTCACAGCACACCCATCGGAACAGTCGTAACCTTTCCGACTCGGCTTGGAGGACGAGGAGGAGGCGTGACAGAAAAAAGGAAAAAAAAGAAAGAAAGAAAGAAAGAAAGAAAGAAAGGGTCACATCTGTTGTCGGGAAGGCTGTCAAGGTGCTCTTTGCCCTTGAGTGGGCAGCATCGCGCTACTGCCATCCATCCATCCAAGCTTCCACTTGGCCATTCAAAGTGGAGGAAAGCAGACACTTAGTGCATTTCAATGGCACTTCTCCTCCCCGGCCCCAAAACAATTTTTGTCCTGCATGTGACGACGAGCAAACCTTGATAAACACAGCTATGGGCCATTCATTTCCCGCCAAGAAAAATAACAACTAGCAAATGAAAAGTTGCGCTTCCATGAAATGAAATCCAGAGCAGGATGTCGGCTTATCAATCAGCCTCCAAGCTTATCTGTTGTTACATGTGAAGCACGTGAACAAACACTGAAGGTAGCAGAGATTTTTTTTTTTCCCCTGCGGACATTTCTATGAATGATTTGAGCTCGATAAAAGGTCCCATTAGGTTGGCCAGCATCCAGAATTTTTTCGGGGTAGGTTGAGAGTTCAAAGTCAGCGGCATCCATATTCAAAGGGGCACACCAAACTTTGTCATCTTGAAGGCTTGACGGATGGCATACCAAGGTCAACCAAAAGCACGTTAAAAGGGAGACGCGCCACCACTATATATTAAAAAAAAAAAAAGAGGACGCGAGGAAAATAAAAGGCTTCAGCCGGATGTACGGCAAAAGTTAACGCAATATATAAATGTTCTTCCTTGGCAGCACATGCTTTCTATTTACCAATTGATAGTCAAAAATTATTAAGTAATACGACAGATACCTTGATACAATGTGAAAAAAGTAGCTAGGTCAAATAAAGTATTTGAGTGAGCAAATAAAGCTTTGAGACCCTTCACCTGTTCAAATGGATCACGGCCCCATTATTACGAGACTTTCGCACTTGGTGTCGCGACAACTTTCAGCCTGTGCTCTTCATCAAATCCAAGAAATCGATACAAAATGCATTCTTGCAGTCACACCAACTGTGCTTTTCAAATGTAAACCGCATGGATGATTGTTCGCCTTCCCCCAGCAGTCATCCCGAGCCAAGAAAATGTCAGCAGATGGCGCAGACAAAATGCTGAAAGTGACCCGGCTAGCTAACACGTTTGCATCATCAGTGACGCGGGAACTTTATGGCAAGATAGCCATTTAGTGCTTTTCTGAGACATCCATTAGTGGGGATGAGGGTCATTTGGCCCGCTGCCCCACCACCAAATGTCACCCACATCATTTGCACGCCTCGGCTTTGCTATGCGATTGCATGCAGCCCATTGGACACTATCACGCACTTGGAATTAGACAAACGCCTCCCACCCCTCAATCTTAATGTGAGAATAATGTGGCAATCCTGCTCTTTCTCAGACGCACGTAAAAAGTATCAATACTTGATAATGCCATCACATCTCGTAATTGTAATGAAAATGTGTTTTCCTTTCATCAAATAACACAAACTTGCGCTGAACGGGAAATACGTCGAACTCAAAAGGAAGCGAGCCAAGCGAGCCGGTGAGGAAAATCAATCCAAATGGAGCCAACAAAGCCTCGAGGCGCTCAAAGCGAGGGCGGACGGGTCAAGGCGGGCATAATAGGCGAGCAGAATTTCGAGTGATTGTCATTGCTTTTGTCGTCTGTCTAGAATGCTGGGCCTGCTAGCAGCCTTTAGCATGACGCTAGGATGGATTAGCATCTATATTTGTTTTTCGCACATCGCAGGGACGCTTTGATGCCTGTTGGTATTGCTGTATACTTGGTTTTGCTGCTCCGTGTGTTCAAGTAATACTTGTTGGAAAGTCTATGATTAGTGTAATATCCATTCCGGTTTCTATTAGCCTTTATACGCTGTTTCCCAGCGTATGTTAGCATTAAGCTAGTGGACTGTGGCGCGACATAATACGATTCTATTGAACATTTTGTTTTTATCTTTTGTTTGAGGCGTGAATTTGACAGTAGCCTACACTACAACTGAGAAATGCTAAGCAGGTTGAAGCAAGCATATTTTTACTTTGCCGCTTATTTGGGGAAATGTGCCCGCTAAACAAAGGTGCAGAGGAATACTGTATTGTACTTTCAAGAGTGTCGTCGAATAAGTTGAAATGTGTTTGGGAGAAGTTCAACTTACAAACCGACCGGATATTTTTTTTTCCTACGGTCTCTATATGGCAAACGTATTGCGAGCGGGTGTGGAACGCATTCCAGCCATAAACTAGAGGTTAACTGCCAGCGCACAAGAAGCTGATTGACCTTCACGCATTTGTGGCTGGTGGAAGGGAGGATGTAAAGGATGGCGGAGGGAAGATGGACAAGGATGGAGGAGGAGGAGGAGGCGGACCCGGAGCATGAGGAGG